ACAACAACCACGCTGTCGAGTTTAAATAGCGGCAAATCAGCTGCACTTGATAGTAGTTGGTTGAATAAGGATTACACCATGTTACAGTTTTGCCCGTCACTGTACATAGCTCAGTGGTTAACGCTTCTGACTTTGAACATCGATTACGCAGGTTCGATCCCTGCTGAAGGTGATGGGCAAAACTGTAGCATGGTATAACACTTTTTACTTCAGCCATCGCTATCTTTCCAAGTTCTAATAATTGTGTTGTATAATCTTATTAGTACACCTGTACTTCCTCTCTCATAACGATTTGAAGTCAATACAACAACAATAAAAAAAAACAGCAGACAAAAATGTAAATTAGGGCAAATGTTACAGTTTTTCACTCACTCTAAGTTTTGCCTTTTACAGTTATCTCTTACTTAGATGGAAGTCAGATGACTTTTTTTTGTATTGCAATTTATTGAAGAAGTGATCACCAGTAAATAATATAGTTAATCAGGAAACATAAATGTAAATAATAGATTTACTGCGGAAAGGCGGAACCGCACGAAAAGTGGCAAAAAAATGTGGAATTTGCTACTTGAAAATGTTAAGACTGAGAAAAAATATAGCCTAAAGTGTTCCCAAGGACAAAGGAAGGTTGTCAAAAAATATTACGGTCCGATATCTTGTGAACTTAGCAGCAAATAGCGATGCAGCCCCTATTTCAGAAGCGCTTAAGGTATTAAACTTTAATGCAAATCAGTAGACAGCGAGGCGAAGAATTGCCAAATTGGGCGCAAAGGATCACAAAAGAAAAAAGCAAATTTGATCAAAATACATGTGCGAGTGTGGTAGCTCTTTGCTGCATCGCACGAAACCCGGACCGTTGCCTATTGGGATATGTTGGGCCTTTCAGAATGCAATAAAAAACATATTTTTAAATTTCCATTGAAGGTTATTTGGTCCGACAAGACTCAATTAATTGCTTTCAGCAGATGGCCGGGCATGGTATTGGATTAAAGACCCAAATTAAGCCCATGCGCAAAAGCCACAATAACATTGACAAATACATAGTTTAGGAAGAGCCTGCCTGAAACTATACAAAAAAGCAAATAAGCAAATGGATGTATAGAATTGGCAATAACAACCCCACTGTCGAGTTTAAATAGCGGCAAATCAGCTGCACTTGATAGTAGTTGGTTGAATAAGGAAAATGAATTAGCAACAAGAGTTTACGGGATGTACATAGCTCAGTGGTTAACGCTTCTGACTTTGAACATCGAATACGCAGGTTCGATCCCTGCTGAAGTCTAGAAAAAAGAAGTCTGATGAGGAGATGTGGTGATCTCCGAAGTAGTGGTATAACTTCCACCGCTTAGACTTTGTTGCTTTTTCAATTTTTCCTAATAAACAATCGTGGTACAAAGCTCAGTAAAAATATTAAAAATAAAATGCTAACAAGCCACAATAACATTGACAAATACAAAATTTCTTTATTTTTTTACAAAAATATCGCTCATGCTTAATGCTCCTATCAATACTTTTTTTGGCAGTATACTGCATTTATACTTTTTTGCTGGCAAAATTCGTGGATACACGTTATAAAAATGCATATATCGCTCGTTTAGAGTTTCACTTTTGGATTGGTTCGTCAAAGCAGTTTTTGGTCTTTCAACCGAGGTTTCGGTTCGGTTCAATGGTCTGGAAAATAAAATAAAAGTTTAAATGTCAAGTGCAACAACGCGCAAGGTTGAGGGTCAAGTGTCTGTCAAATGAGATGGGTTGCCTTTACATTTGATATTGCTACATGGAAGGGGCCATCATTTAGTTTAAGATAATTAGGGTAAAAAATATTTTAAGATCTCAATTATTAAAGATCTCTTTTCAGAGATAAATAGTAGTCGAGAGATCTAGCTTTAATTTAAGCCAGGAAGGTTCTATCACCTTTCGTTTCTTTGCTAGAGCTTCTAAAATATTGCAAACCCGCGATTTTTCGACAATTTGAAACCGTTTTTTTTTCAAAATCTGGAGTTGATGAAAAATTTATGCTTACGTATTCGTAATCTGCACAAAAAAAAATCTATCAAAAAGAGCTTTAACATTTGACGTACCAATTTTTTTTTATATTTTTGTTGGGCTGTGTAAGCCTTAAAGAATTAACAAAAATTCAGATTTCCGTTTATCTTGCAGAAATTTTTACTTATGTAGTGTATAACACCCTTCGCTACCCTATTTAGTTATAGTTTTTCAAAATAATTCAATGAATATCATCATGCACGTGCAGTAGACTGCGCCTTATTTTGCAACTTTGTTCTACAAAGCAAGACTCCCCCAGAAAGGTTCATTTGATCATAAACACGTGACCTGCAAAAAAATTTTAAAATCGGATAACGGAAAGACCAAAGGCCAAAAGTTCAGCAAATTCGTGGAATTTTTCATAAAGAGGTCAATATTTTGCCTATAAGTCAGCGGGAAATTTAATATATTTAAATGACACTTGATGGAGTTTTGTCCCCCGGTGTCAAAAATAGCTACAGTATTTTAAACCTCCCTATCTTTTACAAAAACTTGGGAAGACGCCGTGTGGCCTTTTGAAAAATTCATCATGGCGTCTCAAATATGGCATCTAAACTAACCGTAAATTAGATCTGGCTTTACACATTTTGTGCCACCAGAGAACCCAACACTAAAAGAGAAAAGTTCCTTACAATTTTGGCATTTGATCATGCTACGCATTTTATCAGAAATTGTTGAAAAATGGCGAAAACCGTACAATGCAAAATTTGTTGGCACTTTTTGCTAATTATTTACAATAACAGTTTTTTTTTAAGTTTGTATAAAAAAAATATGGGAAATTAAATTCTCTACTAATTTGTGTACAACCGTTTTTACGAAAAATGCATAAGCTAGCAAATCGCAAAAACCCAAAAAAACCTGAAACCCAAAATGGCGGAATGTCCCGGTATGCATCAAAAGTTCGCTGCTACAATTTTCTGCGTACCAATTTGATCTAAATTTACTTGGTTAAAATTTATCTTCTGAATTTCTAGAAAATTATAGTTTTACGTGGAAAAAAACTCTATCGCTTTAAAAGTTAGGGATGTTTAAAAACAGGTTAGCCATATTTGACAACGGATGGCAAAACTACATCAAGTTCCCTTAAAATATATTAATTTTCCCACTGAATTATAGGCAATTTTGACCACTTTGTGAAAAATTGCATGCTAATGTTGAATTTTACGGCCTTTAGAGGCATCAGACATCGGAAAGGTCTGATTTTAAACATTTTTCGCAGGGTACGTTTTTATGAACAAAGCAACATTTCTAGAAGGAGTCTTGTTTTGTAGCTTAACAAAAAATGTTCTCCATACAAGTAAGGCGCAGTCTAATGTGCAGGCATGGGCAGAGAACGAGCACACAACGGGCTAGCTTTTCCCACTAGTTATTCATCGCAATCTGGATATTAATGTTGACTTAGTATTAAAATAATTTGTATCTATACCTCGGTGAATTGCATGTGACTTTTCATTGAGCTTTGCTTAATTATATCCACAATCAAATACAATATGCTGAATACTCTAAATAAAACAATGATATTCTTGGTTGTTACGAATGACCTGGGACCTGTAACACAAGCGCTACAAGTCCTACAAGTGTTCAAATAAATTAAACAAGTGTAGATCTTTTGTAACACAAAGCAAGTAATTACTGAACTTTTTTTACAATTGCAGTCTATTTCTGTAACCCAACGAACACACTTGTAGAGTTGTGTTACAGATTTTTCTACAATTGTAAAAAACTTTCTATCTCTCTTGAACGCTGTTTAGATTCAGTACAGTGAAATCTTTTGCCATTTTTCTGCCGATATGTGGTGAAGTGATTCCTAAAGTAAAAACCAAAACCTTCCTACAGTGTATCGGTACCGAGACAGAATGAATACTTTCTTTCTGAGAGACGCAGAATTTGTGGAAAGGTTCAGACAGAATCGAGAACAGTGTAAAACTGTGCTTGAAGATATAGGCCCAGTAATCGTGAATAAAACAATTCGATGCTACGGTTTCTTAAAATTTCTTTATTTTCTTTAACTTTTTGTAAATAATGAAACCTTTTTTAACATTATTTGTTTTGCAGCCATATTTAATTAATAATATATGTTTTATTTTTCACGGCAAGTGCTATACGTCCGCCGGAAACAAATGGTATTGGCTCTTGTTAATAGGGACACGAATGTCGATCCGGTACTATATCGATATCTTTTTCCATTCGATACCGATACTTTTTAATCGATACTTTTTAATCGATAGTTTTAAAATGATATTTTTTGGAATCGAGTACCAGAACCCTTGTATCGTATCGAATCGCAAAGACGCATTACAAAGATAATGTATCTGACGTCACGTTACAAGACATTACGCTACTAATAACTCCACTGAAGCTTGTTTGATAATATTGTTTTTAAATTAATTTTTTGCGCAAATATAATATAAATTTTATGTCGAATATATTTTTTATTTTGACTTAAGCGCACCTAGCGGTTCCATTTAATGCAAATCCATGTCGTACTATGACTCACCGCTGGAAAAGGCCTTATGTCTACACTTTGGAATTGATATGTAAAGCAATGTAGTTATATTTTGGGCTTTACAGAGTCCAATATTCAGATTTATTTTTGGGTTTTGTGTTGATATTGGGAATATTGGGTCTTTTTATCCCGAGAATAATGGGAACCCGATATTTTTACAGCGATACTTTAAGTGAGTGCTATATCGGTACCTTCGGTTCGATATCGTGTCCCTACTTGTTAATCGATTAGTTG